CATGTGTATCGTAATCAGAAGTGATGTTTACGGGAGGAGGACCCTAAAGGTTAGAGCATTATCAATTGAACTTCCACCAGGAAAGGAAAATTGGATGTAATAGAGTGGGATCGCATCAACATACTCATCGGGCTTCTTCTGTCTTTGCTTAAAAGCTTTACCCCATGAATTCACTCGGGGAACAAAGAGTGGATGTTGTCGAACAAATCAGGGAACACCGAGTTATAGAGAGTTCCCCTGATTGAATAGTCGGATGCCTCAGCGTGGAACCACATCTGAAGTTGGTATCATGATCTGGAAGAGAATTTATAAACAGTGCCAAAGTACAGGGTCTAACCCACTGAAGCTTAAACAGGTATGGAAACCAATGAGAATGAAGCACTGATATAAGATCAACTCTTCTTCATCCGTATTCTAATATCGTTGGTAGAACAATTTTCTTGAATTAACACAGTAAATGGAAACCATATGTTGATAAGATGTTCCAAGAACTCAAGGTTGTGTAGCATTCCATGGTTTGAAGGAAATCTCAAAAGACGAGGAGAAAAGATAACTTCTATTGCAACAGTAGGTGTAGGATTGTTGATATCATCATTAGAGCTTCCATGACCTGGATCATCTGAGTCTTCAATCGATTATCTTCCTTCTCGAAGAATTTCCAGCCACAAGCCAAAGCTTGCATGCATACCACAATCAACCACATCAGGATCTTTGTATCGGTCAATCCCCCACGGAGTTATCCCATACTGATCTCTAAACACGTACAGTAAGAAATTAAGTATGAAGCTCTGAAGAAAGAACCAAGTCTGAATAAGAATCCCCAATCTTCGGGTACCTGTTATGAATGCATGAATATGCATGGGGTGCATGAATGGATACCATGTCATGTTCCGTCATTTCCAAGGAATTTATGCGCTTTGATTTTGATTTTACGCAGGTAAGGGATGGAAAAGTTTAGCACAAGACTTACAAATATGATTCCCTTGAAATAACAGAACATGTATGTTAAGCATGTAGTTAACCATGTTATGTATGTAAAGATATGGGATCAAAGTTCCATCACTTCGGAATATGATTGATGCACTATTCTGAACCATATGAACATCATCATTTCAAAGGTATGGCATAGCTTCCGCATATATAAGAGCCAAGTACCATGTAGATCATCAATTGTACGGGATCAAGGCTTATGGAATACCAAATACTATAGAGCCTTTTTTGAACATGTTGGGAATACAAAGATCGAAGGCCCGAATGAACCTCCAAATAAACAAGTCAAGAACTCAAAATAAATTCGAGAACCATATAGTCACCAACAGATCATGTGGTCACCATCTGAACATAGTCACCATCAGTACCTGTAAAGATGATCCACTCCCCGCTCACGAGTGTAAACTAGGTCAAGGTAAGGTCATGGATAATGAGAATCATAGTTCACCTGAAAGTATCATCATCATGTATATTTGTGATGCTGACAATACCTCACTTGAACCTCAACTGACTATGGCTTCATGATCGGATGGTGACAGGGCATACGCCTATCCTCCATCATGATTCTCCACTCTACATCTAGTATTCCTAGTGGTATACAACTCTGGCCTGGGTACTGGGCCTTTTACCTCATAGTAACACCCACCCAACAAGAAGCAGATCTAGTACAACAGTAGTATATGGAAAACATTAAAATGCAATGCATACATATGCTCAGGTAAACATGTATGCATGAATAAACTGAAAGCATAAAAATAAATACCCAAAGAAAAGACAACGAGATCTAGGAGCGACTCCAGAATGGACCAGCATTTGGTCGACCTGTCCCCAGTGAAGTCGCCAGCTGAAACAACTAGCTAAAAATCATCAAACAATAAAGTCGCAATCGAACGTCTTTAATCCCACATGGAGGGAAAGGTAAACATCGAGAAAAATTGAGAAGGGAGAAGTCACAGTCTTGAAACTGAGAGATCGATTAAGGGAGTCTGTTACACAAGGGGAATGTATTAGCACCCCACACGCCCGTAGTACTCTATGGTATCCACTCCTGTTGTCTATCTTATGGGTGTGTATAATGTATGCTTACTGTTTATTAATGAGGAAGAATTCATTAAAAAGAAAGGAGTAAATAATGTAGGGAAAATAAAGTTGTGCTCGCTTGGGCCCTACCCCAATGCCTACGTATCCTTTTTGAGGAATCAGAGTTAACGTAGTTTGGCTCACATGATTTTGTTTGTTTGTGTTTTTTATGAAGATGGTTAATTCTACCTTCTGCCGCAGCTGGACCTTTGGAGACTCACGCGTTGGCGCAAAAGTAAATTAATCATGTCCTTACTTGAAAATCATTTTGAGTTACGCCCTCAAGGGAACATGCCACATTTGATTGGTTTGTATTTTGTTACTTTGAAAAAGGTTTTAAGTGTGATTAGAATGTTTTATGATTTGCTAAGAAAAACAGGTTTTGGTTTTAAATGAAAGGATGCAAAAAGGGGAAGAAAAGAGTCTACGGGGGACTAGCCTAATTCTAAACCTAATGTTATCATACAATGGTAGCCCTATGTCAAGGATGAAAGGGAAACCACTACCTAATGTTAGCATGCATGGTTCACCATCTAAGGTCTAACTTGCATCATAAGGGAACAAGTACATCCTAAGGGAACATGGTATGGAAAGAGAGTAAACAAACAAGCTAGAAAGAGCACACACATAAAAAGGTAAAGAAAATAAGTGAAATTCTTTAGTCAAGGGGAGCGTATCACCAGAGACAAACAAGTGGGAGTAGGATGTAAAACCAAAATGTGATGTCCAAAGCGACTAAACACCAAACCAAGATATAGGAGATCGAGGTAGGCGACCGAAGGCAATACGAACGATCGCGGAGTATCAACATCGGCCAATGCGAACTCTTGACAAAATGTGGGGGTTTGATTGCAAAACCCTTCCCCACTTGATGGATCGATAATAAGAGCGGGCATAACTTTGAAGCATTGTGGTGTGTCACGAGCTAAGGATGACACAGACGAAATTGCAGGGGTTGATTGCGAACCCTCCATGCTCGCCTCTTTTTGAGGACTTCAATAAGGGATGGGGGAATAGATGCGAGCACAAATATAAACACACATGTGGAATACCTACTTTAAAGGTATGGTTTTAAACAAACATAAATAGCATATAATGGCAAACAATATGGAATTGCCCTATACGAGTCTTTAAATAAACCCGAGGGGTTCCTAACATGATCAGCAATAGAGGCCCCTATCATACATCTCTACCCTACTTATCATGGCAAGGAAAGCAGTAAAGCCCTACTTCTCATGATCTCTAGAAAAGCGGCAAAGAAGTATGATAAAGTGCTGAAATGAGGAATATAAGTGAAGCCATGATGATACCTAACAGAGAAGGCCCATTGCCTCTTCAAAACCACACAAGCAAAGAGAAAACTCTACAGAAGCTACTTCACACAAGTGATCAAATGAATTGGTCTCCAAGCATCCCATATTGCCAAAGTTTTATCAACACTCTATCACAAAATATTTTCTAAAAATGACACCAAAAATGATTGTCAAACATGAAAATAATAGAAAATTATAATAAAAATTCTAAAGAGAGGTCCTAAAGAATTCTAAAATGTTGTATTATTTTTTGTATCATTTTCATCATTAAAATCATGGAACAATGAAGCTAAAACTAATAAAAATGGAAGAGTAGAAGTATAGTAGAAACAAACGGGGTGTATTGCTAAGCCCATGAAGTATTGAAAGGAATTGATGCTAAGCCCATCAGATTTAGTCCATAAGCCCTTTTTGTAACATGCAGTTCTAGCTTCCAAAAAACGAAAAAACAATGGGCTGAGAGGGAGTGTGGTTTGATCCAGAACTAGTTTTTTGTATTGTTTTCCAAAAAATCTCACCAGGCCTTCGTGCATCAAAGTCTGACGCGCATAGCCACCGAATCCACTAAATCCAACAGCTTTTGTACTGCTTCCATCTCTTCTTTTTCAAGAATGCAAACCCTACGGTGCATATACCCCTTCCTCTTCTTCCAAAATCATAACGCCGCTCAAACAATAATCCCTTCCTCTTCACTCAACACCGCCAATTCCATGAAATTGACACCGAGTTCCATTATGACGAGCCATTAGCGACTCCTCTTCGTCTCCATCAATCTCGTTTTGATTCAGTTTTCATCGCCTCTCAAAGCTCTGTATCAATTTGAGTTCTCCGTCTACAGCCTCGCGGTTTCCATCTCTAGACGTGATTCTCTTGCGTTATTGCTGATGGTCAGGATGATGATTGATGGTTGAAGCTCAATCTCAGTAGCTTGAAGATTGTAGATGGAGATCTAAGAAGATGCAGTAGAAAATAGTTGCGATCGTCGAGAGGTGAAGGGTTAAGATGAAGATGTATGAAGGAGGAAGGTTGAAGGTACAAAATGGTTATAGAGTTTGAAGGTGAATGAAGGTGTAAATGAGAGAACACAGTTGAAGATGGTGATGTCATTGATGGATATAGACGAGCTGCAATTTTTTATGAGGGCAAGGCGGTGATGATGATTGAAGATGCGTAAAGAGGTGAAGATCATTGGCGACTCTTGAAGTTTGGTGGTATAAGTGTTGAAGAGATGAATTTTGTTACGAATTCCAAGTTGATGTGATGCTGGAGATGCTGAAAAAGATGAAGATTGGAGGGTTTAAGAGGAGAATCAAGATTGAAGGGTTAAAGAATGAAGATGTTGCTGCTGAATAATTAGTTGTAGAAAAAAAGATGATGAAGGATAATGCAGAGAAAGATTAAAGAATGAGGTTTTTCTTTTTGGTGAGGAATAAAAGGTTGATGATTTATGGAGATGGAGAATGGAGTGAAGGTGTTGAGGGAAGATTGATGCGGTTTAGAGAGAGAGAGGTGAAAGAGAGTTCTTTGAGATAATGTTCTGGTGAGTTCCCTCATTATTTCTCTGGCTTTTCTGTTATGAATGAATCGTGAACTTCCTCCTCTCTTTGTTTTTATGTTATGTTTCTGTTGAGAAGTTGGTTAGAAACAGTTGGAAAGTTAGTTACAAGATTCTATTATGAAGTCAGTTTGGTAGTTCTGTTAACTCTATTAATTTTGTTATGAGTTAGAGGTTTTAAAGTTAGTTATCATCTGACATTATGTTATTGTTAATGGATACATGAAGTGCATGGCAGGTTTTTTGACAGGTTTTAACTTTGTAGTTGAACTGTGATATATTGCTGTATGGACTGTTTCGATTATGGACAGATCGGTGATTTTTTTCATGATTAGCTAAAGGAAGAGGGAAACAAAGGGCATGGCATAAAGTTTGGTGTCTCTTTTGATGGTGCAGAAATTTTGGTCATAGATGATGTGGATAGAACATATAAACATGGTGAAGAAATTCAAGACATAAGGGCATCAAGCATGAAGATTATTTTAAGATGTTATGGAAGCTTGAAGTTTGGTTTTGGCAACCTAAAGCATGAAGTTCATAAGTCTAGAAACTTAGAACTCTTATGTTTAGGACCAAATTTGTAATGTGATGTTTAGAACTTTGTATTCTTGTAATTTTGAATGAAGTTGAATGAGCTTTGATGGAGCTTGTATGATACTTGAATATCTTTGAATTTGATGAAATTTCTCCCATAAGAAGATAAAATTTGATCCACAAGCCTCGAAGGAATCCTCAAATAAGTGACACATCCCCGATTCCATGGTTCTTGATGAATGTTGATGGAAATATAGTCTTATAAGTTAAGGAGACTCCAAATCATAATACAATTCCATGCTCAAATAAAAACAACATTTGAACAATGCTCAATTGATACACCCATCTCGAACCATATGGAAACCCTAATCTTTTGACATATATAGAAAAATACCCCCTAGTCCAAGACCTTGATGAATTTGAATTGAGAATAACCCTTGTAGCTTGATGAACAAAAGATCCACGATAATGATGATCCAAAACCCTAGCTTAAAACAAAGATTGTTGAATAAAATAGTAAATTCAAGCTTGAATGAAGATGAGAGCCTAAAAGCACAAATAAATCCTACTTCCTCAATATCCTTGATCCCATGCCAAATTATTGATTAATGATGCATGATGTTGTTAAATGTCCTACTGAAAGGTATATATATATATATGATGATGCATAAGCCATATGTAACACAGTGGGAGAACTGACTTGGGTGTTTTGCGTTTGATCGCAATTGTTGCGAATAGCAAGAGTCCCCATAGACTTTTCTTTTAAACAATAAAGAAAGGTTGAAAAGAATAGGAAAGACCTTTCGAGACTATTTCTTGAGTTCAGAGGGTAGATTATGAAAAGGAAAGGTATTAACACCCTTTCCATCCGTAGTTATCTACGGGCTCTTAGTTGCTTTCTAGATCACTTGCTTTTGTTTGAAAATGTGCTTGTGGTGTGGGTTTTGAAAGTATTATGAAAAATGTCTTTGTAATGGTTCTCATTTCTATAAGAACGCGTACAAAGTGTTGTTTTTAAAATAATTCAAAGAGGTGTTTGTGGAATGTGTTTTTGAAAGTGATTTTGAAAAGTGTCTTTGTAATGGTTCTCGTTTCTATAAGAATGCGTACAAAGTGTTTTGTCTTTTGAAAATGTTTCAAAATTAAAGTGTGGGTGTATAAAAATGTTTTTATTGTGAGCAAGCGAGCAACTGGGAGCATCCTACCTACTCAAAATGTCTTAATGTTCTTTTCCTCCTTCTTTAGATGTTGTTATCTTACCATTTATTTGGTAAGAAGCCCCATCATTGGATGTGAAGGGATGGGTGTGGGAAGTTTCTATAGTCATAGAAGGAAACCTATGGGACGTTTTAGCAATGTCGTTTAGGGACTAGATTGTTTACCGATGGCAACATTGAGGGTCATCGAGGGACTACGATCTTTTATCAAGGGTCTTTGCTAAAACGCCCATATTTGAGGGACATGACTATTTTTCCGAGGCAACAAATGAGATTACCCTAAGGGTGCATGTGTGAATAGTGTGTTTGATTTGCATGCATTTAGTCTTTGATTTTGTTGGGTTGTCTACTTGTTATTTTTATCTTGCCATACATCCTAATTACTAACATTTATACAAAACTAATAAAAATGCAAAAAATAAATCCTACACTATTACAACCATATTGAATAGCAAGAAAATATAAAGAAAAAATAAAATAAAGAAAAGAAAATAGGCTTTTCGATTTGGGCAGCAGAACCCTTCGATTCTGCTTCTCTAGCTCCCTTCGATTTGGGCCTGGAGTCAGCAAGGTCATGTCTTTTGATTGGGCCTGAAATCAGCATGAGATGCAGTCTGCCTTTCTGCTTCCTTCGACTGGGGCCTGGAAGTCAGTGTGGGCGTGCCTTTCGACTGGTCCTGGAATCAGTGTGGGCATTCTTCTGTCTTCCTCTTTCGTTTGGACCTTGAAGTTAGTGTGGAAGCCTAATGCTTCGTTTCATACTTCCTTCCCCCTGTTTCTTTCGTTTGAGACTTTAAATAGCAACATGGTCTGAGGCCACGCTAGCATTGTCTTATGGCCAAGTTAGTTCTTAAAAAAATTTAATAAACAAAGAAAATAAGTCATAAGAGTATTAATGAAAATAAACTGAAAGGATTGAAACAAAAAGAAGAAAAATGTTATGTACATGTTTTGAAACAAAAGGGAAGGTTATTCACATATTATGCTAGAAACGAAAGGTTCAAGTTTAAGAGTGACTTACCTTGCTTGAGGCTGGGACATGTAGGCTGGACCTTGAGTGGCTGCCTAGATGCTTCTGGATTCGAAGGAAAAAAACGAAGGTGACATTACTAATGCTGGATTTGAAGGAGAAGAACAAGTGTGATGTTCTTTCTACTGGATTCGAAGGAAAATAAAGTGTGGGGATGTATCAGATTTGAAAGAGACAAATATTTAGATTTTGGGTTGGTGTTTAAGTGTTTGAGAGTGTTTCATGGTTTTTCTCCATGCCCTAAGTCTTTGGATGTGCGTCCAGCCCCTTTATACATGTTATGGGGCCTCTTATTTATAGGCAAAGCTGGCTGAGGTTTTGGATGGAAAACAAAACCATTTGAACAATTTGAGTAAACTATTATTTGTAGCTTTCGAGGGACAATGTTTGTATGCCATTTTGGTGTAAGAAATGGGTAGTGTTTCAGGACTGTTGTGCAGCAGTTTTGGAGCGTTATGGCCAGTGTACCAGGCCTGAACTTGGAAGCAAGCATCTTTTGATATCTCCACCTTTCATTTTAACCCCCCTTCGACCAGATTCTCCTTCAAACAACGTTCTTTAATTTTCACCCAACAAGTGTCTTTCGAATGGGTCACTTTTGTGCATCCTTCGAAGGAGGCAAATGTGTGCCCCTTTAATGGGTCACCAAAGTATGCCTTAAGGTGGGTCTTGTAAGTCCTTCGAATGGGCCATCAAACATGCCCTTCGAATGGCACACCCAGATATGTCCTTTGAAGGGGTCATGTATGTATCTTTGAAAGGGCCAAATGTGTCTTTCGAATGGACTATTCAATTCTTCGAATGGGCTAGTAAGGTCTACCCTTTGACAGCGAATCCTATGTATGCCCTTCAAATCCACCAACCATGTGTGCTAAAGGTTGTCAAGGGTGGAATTAAAGCATAATAAAGAGAAATGTGTCCAATCGAAGCTAGTGTAAACATAGTCGATGCCCTGTCGAAGCCTGCATGGAGGAGGTCTAAACTTTGTGACTCCAAGCATGCATACAAGAGGCCAATGCTCCAACGAAGACTTGCACGAAGGGAGCCACATGCCCAAACGAAAGAGGCATGTTAGGCTGGCATCAAAGGAGGGCCACATGCCCAAACGAAAGAGGCATGCAAAAAGAAAAGTTGCCCAGACGAAAGAGGCATGCAGGAGGCAAAAATGCTCATATTCGAAAGAGGCATGCAAGAGGAAAAAATTCACAATCGAAGGATGCCAAAAGGAGGATTTTTGCCTTGGAATTGAAGGAGGCTATAGGAGGCTTTTTTCCTTGTGCCTGCTGGCCTGATGGGAGCCTCTTGCGTGCAAGAAGGAATCCATGGCTCAATCAAAGGCTTCATGCATCCAGTCATCAACTTGTCTATGCAAGCATCAAATGTCTAAACGAAAGCAGGTATGCAAGCCACCATTACATTATGAACCATGTGAGGTCAAAGATGCAGTCAAAGGTTTCATGCAGGAAGCTCCTGCCTTGTGAATCAAAGCCACCATGTCAGAGGCCAACGCCCAGTCGAAGGATGAAAGCCAAGCTTGCATCGAATGAGGCCAAAAGGCCAATCGAAAGAGGTGAATCAAAGAAGACTTGTTTTTCTACAATTTTGTCAAAAATAATATTTTTATCTATTTCCCCCCCTTTTTTAATAGCTTCCTCTTTAATTTGATGCTGAAAAATCCAATTGTACTTGTGCAAGCTTGAATTTTGAGAATCCTTGTGAGAAATACCTTGAGAAATGAGAGGGCAAATTTTGGGGTGCAACAACTGCCCCTATTTAATCTTCTTAAACCTGAAGAGTTAGATTGGTGAGTCTACCATTCGTGACTTGAAGGTGGAAGATGATTGAACACTAGAGTGCCTAGAAATTTGCTCTTGATGATGTGGTGGTTGATTATGTAAGGAATTGGATTAAAGATGCCATTTGGAGAGATGATGGAGAGTTGTCAGAATGGCCTTATAGATGCCACCCAAAAGTGATTGTTGACAGAAATTAGACTAAGTCTAAACTTGACTTTAACTGGAAAAGAATCAGAATAAATCTTTGGAGAGATTTATCTGAACCAGAGAAAGCGTCTACCGGAAAGGAATCAGAATAAACCATTGATCGATTTAAAACTGAACCAACAGAGGTCTGGAGTATTCTTTAATTTATGATGGGCCTATTTAGGGCTGTTATATGAGAAGGAAGTCTGGGTAGGGCTGCTTCAGGATGAATCTAAGTGGAACTTCATCTGGAATTTAAGAGAACGGACATGGGTAGAGTTAATTAATGATAAGTCTGTGTGAAACTTCATCTGGAATTTAAGAGAAGGGACCTGGGTAGGGTTGCTTTAGGATGAGTCCATATAAAATTGCATCTGGAAATGAGAAGAAACCTGGGTAGGGTTGCTTCATGATGAGTCTGTAAAACTATATCTGGAAATTATGAGAAGGAATATGAGTAGGGTTGCTTCATGATGAGTCTGTATTAAACTTCATCTGGAAATGAGAAGGAACCAGGGTAGGGTTGCTTCATGATGAGTCTGTGTAAAACTACATCTGGAAATGAGAAGGAACCTGGGTAGGGTTGCTTCATGATGAGTCCATGTAAAAATGCATCTGGAAATGAGAAGGAACCTGGGTAGGGTTGCTTCATGATGAGTTTGTGTAAAACTGCATCTTGAAATGAGAAGGAACCTGGGTAGGGTTGATTCAGGATGAGTCTGTGTTTAGACTTTATCTGGGAAAGAGAGGGAACCTGGGTAGGGTTGCTTCATGATGAGTTCATGTTAAACTTCATCTGGAAATGAGAAGGAACCTGGGTA